TGAGGGTATGGCTGACTTGACTTTCCTCCTCTTTTCTGTGTTGCTGTCAAACTCAGTAAAAGGGTCCCATTCATTCACTTACTCAGCAAGTATCTGTCAAATACCTACCATGTATGGGCATTGCCCTAGGTGCTGTAAGGCCACAATGATGACCAGGGCCCAGTCTCACCCTCCGGGACTTCCAATCCAGTGAGGTCCCTGAGCATGGCCACAAATAGCCACACGTACCATAGAGAAGAGCAAACAAAAATATTCCAGAGGTTCAGAGAAAGAGACCATCCCTTCTGCGTGGCGGTGAGCCAAGAACAACTTTTCACAAAGTCTTTATAGGAACTTAAAGTTGGGGGGGCCTTTAAAGAGCTGAGATGGGGCGTGAGGGCATTCCAGACACAAGGGCTGAGTGGGCAGGGGCCTATTTGAGAAGGTCAAGAGGTCAGGATAGCTGAGCTGTCCTTGTCTGTGTGAAAAGGGGGAGTGGGGTGGAGGATGAGCGGGAGAGACTGGCGACCAGGCATATGGGCTATGGAGGCCAGAGAAGGAGCTTGAATGAATTTGCAGGAAAAGGGGAGCTACCGCAGGCTTTTGAGCAGAGACGTGTATCAGAGCTGGCAGCATGGTTAGGGCCGATGGAATGGGGGCCTGAGGCAGGCAGAGGGCGAGCTGGCTGTTCCAGTTGGCTCCCAGGCGAGGGAAGCTGAGAGGCGAGGAATTCAGGGCAGTACCCCATGAGGTTCCTGAGAAGACAGGAATCGGGGGGCAAAGTGAAGTGGAAGGATGAGCCCTGGGCAGAAGGAAGGCTGCCTGCTCTCTAAGAATGAGGAAGGACAAGGCAGTGTGCAGAGGTTCCCTTGGGGGCTTCTGAAGAACTCACAGACTCTAGGGAACCAGATGTAAACATCTGGCAGACCCAGAGAATGCAAAGCTACCTAGTGTAACAGAGCCATTGAAATCAGCACCTGGAGGCCCCACTCCTTTCTTGTCCAGCCACAGAGGGGCCAGAAACTGCACTTGACCAGCCGGGGAAGGGGAAGAGGTTTAACCTAAAATCAGGTTAAGAGTTTTCACTATTAACTGGGATTGTTACCCTTTTAATTACTGAAATGAGACTGTTTCCCACTTAAAGTGACTGAAGGCCTTCCTGTCGGCTTCATCTCATGACCGGAAGAGTCAGGGGACCCAGCTGAGTTTTCACACAGGAGCAGGAGCAGGTTTAAAAGGGAGACTGAGAAAGGCGTGTTTCAGATTCATGTGTGATTCCTCCACGTTTGCCAACGAGTCACAGAGAAGCAGTCCTGGCAGTTTGGAGACATTCACTTGACTGAGCTCTTCCTCTTCCTCCTTTCCTGGATGGAGCTGATTGAATTAATCAATTCAAGTGCAAATAACTTAAACCACAGTGTACTGTGTCTGCGATAAGAGTGTGCCCGGCGAGAGAAAACTTAAGTTGAAGACATTGATCTCTAATTGTGAATTTCAGATATTAGCAAGGGCAGCAGACGTCCTTGGTGGGAGGTCCGGGGAGGTGATGGAGAGGTGCTCAGAGCCAGCAGCCTGGAGAATGGGTAGCCCCTGAAGACCACAGCCCTGTGTGCAGTGTACTTGGGACAGGAAGCCATCTGGGACATGGCTCACTCATCAGCTGCAGCTGGCTCTAAGGGCGCAATCTTTGCGACTTTGAGCAGACAAACTTTGAGGTCAACCAAGTTACGTTTCAGACCCAAAAGGGAAAAACAGAGACACCATAACCCAAGATCTGCCAAATCACCTTCACAGGAGGGTTCTGACAGCACTGAAGTATCCATCCTTGGAGAAGCCAATGGAGCTAAATAAATCACAGCTCTAAACACCTGATTGCATCCTCCTGACTCGTCCATCCCCGTCATATTGTCCAGCTGCGCCCTGGCTGCTGCTGCTTAACAACTGTCCCAACTGCTTGTTATTTAAACTCATTAAAAATGAGAAAGAGAAAAACCATTGCCCTGTTTTATTCTCTGCCATTATGCAAAGAGGCATTCTTCTGTTGAATCCTGGATTTAAATTCTGGAAAATTCTCTTCTACACAAGTGGTCATTTCCCTAGCCATTTTGTGAAACAAAACAAGTCCCCCTAGAGTCGATTCTTTAAAAATGTACATATTTAAAAAATATTTAGGGCTAATATATAGAAATTGAAATCTATTAGTACCAGAGTCAGTTTTATGCCTGCGGTATGGACTGTGTTTATTTGTGATTGTGGTACACGAGCAGATTTTTAAGGCTTAATACAATGTAAGGTTGCTTTTTCTATGACAATAAGAGTAACAAAGACAATGGCTTACTTTATGACACAAACACTTTTTAGTGATCTTTGAGAGTTTGAGTTCCTTGATATCAACTCCAGGTTGAATATCACAGTCAGAGATTTAATCAATAGACTTGTAGCAATTGATCTTTATCACCAACTCTTCGTAGAAGCTCCATGTCACAGTCCAAATGTGCCCCATTTAACACAATGGACAAGCCCTGCAAAGGCACCTATTTTTGTAACCCGCCGCACTGTGCCATATCATAGAGCTGGAACACAGCTCCCTACGGACATTTTGGCTTCCAAGTTAGATGCAGCATTAAATGCGATTTTGATTGTCCCTTTATGTTGAATCTCTAAAGGGAAGATGGTCATTTCTTAACAAGACTTTCATTCTCTACATGACTCATATTAAAATAAAAGTTCTGTACCAGGCCCTAGGGCCCAGGCCCGCAAGAGAGGGAAGCACCCCACCTGGCGCCATCTTTTAAAATCTCTTAATTGTCAAGACTAGTAGTTCTCCATTGCAGGAACATATTTCCTTTATAATCCAGGAGCACGCTCGGAGCGCTATTTGCCAGATTCTGGTGTCCCCAAGGTTCTTAAGTGTTTATTTAACTTGAAGCTTTTCAGTACCTAAAATCATAAAATCAAATTTTTTAGAAAAACTGGAAGCCCACTAAAGGGTATTAATTATGTTAGTATTCGCCTAAAAACACTCGAGGAAAAGCAATGCCTCTTTTTCACACAGCAAAATCGGTTGGATTAAAAAAGTCATTTTCATAATTTAAGCGAATTCTTTCACAAAGGGGGTTTCTTTACTCCTTTTCTCCACAGCAAGTTCTTTTTATCTTCTTGCTCTCCTTGCCAAATTCGCTCTCCTATGAAAATCTCTGACGGTGTTCAAAAAGGCTGAACTGTCTGGCAGTTTGAGCAGGATCATGTCGATGCAGGCATGACAATTAACAGTTTTTATGGTTCCCTGTGAATCCTGTGAAGAGAAGTCGCAACTGGCCATGCGGTCGAAACGTGACCTGGTGCTGTTTTCTGTTGTTGGTTTTGTTCTGCTTCTGCAGGGGAGTTGGTGTGGGAGAGATAAAAGAGATGTTAGAAGTGTCACAGATTTTTGTCTCTCTAAATCAGGTGATTCTCTTCTTCTGTTGCTACAGTCCACCTGCCTGGCAGGAAATCCCGCCTGGTCATGGGTTAGGTTCTTCCTCCAGCTTCTTAAAGCTGTTGGAAAATCTCTAGGTTTCTGTAGAGCAGGGAATTCAGCAAAGGCCTTTGGTCTCCAGTTCACAGTAACCATTCCATGTAGGCTTGTCCAGCCGCCATGCCTCTTGAAGACCCGGTGCTCGAACATGCCTGTTTCCTGGTCTCAGCAAAGGGCATCGTGGCCTGTGATCCTCGAGGCCTAGACTCTTGCCAACATCCCCTTGCCAACCCATCAGAAACCTCACCACCCCGCCTGCAAGCACTTTACAGGAGTGGGGTGCTGGTCCTCAATACTCCCAGGACTGAGCCTCCATCCACCTCCTTGTCTTGAGCAAAGCTTTCCAATCTTTTCTTCTCTAGCTACTTCTTTGTTTTGTCTTGAGTAGCATCTGGAAGAGTAGCAGCTGATGAAGTGGACCATCTAGGAGATGCTTTCCACTCTAGATGGAAATACAGATGTTTCCACTCTAGATGTTATAATTCTGTGATTCCGTGTTGTGTTCCTCGAAACCCACGATGTTACTGAATGTGGTGACAACAGACTAACCATGGTCATTACAGATCCCATCCTTTACTCAGTTTCAGGCACTGAGCTCTTCTCACTCTGCCTCTCAGCACCTCTGTGGAGTCAAGGGGCAGTGATGGTGGGCCAGGGCATGGTGCTTCAAACTGCCCTGGTTCCTGGATCCCTGGAGCCTGGCCTGGCATAGACTTTAGTCTGTCCCCAGGGCACCTCTCCCTGACTCATCACACTCTCTGTTGCATGTCAGCGCATACAACTAAAGGACAATGAAAAGGTTTCAGAGAATTGAGTTGGGTCACGTTCATCAATTGTTAGCTTAAATGCCTTCTGGAAGAGTGTGAGATTATTATATTCCAGCCACCAAAATCCCTTTAATCCTCTTCGGAAACTGGCCTGCAAGTTCATTTCCATAGCTCATTAACCTCTTTTGGATCGATTAGCTTCAAAATGTTGAAAATTGGTTTTTCGCCTTTTGAGGGTAAATTTGCAACCCTCAGCGTTTTGCGCTGGCTGAAAGTCCCTGAGTTGCTTGCCCCAGAGGGGAAAGGCTGGGCCTGATGAAGACAGTTCTAAGCTGGTGTCTTCTTACGTTATACAATTCCAGGGGAGAGTGGGAGGGCCACAAGGATTCAGGAGCTGTGTTTTCAGCACACTGGGACAAGCTCTGTATATCTTAGATTGATGGTACACGCAGGATGCTTTTCGTTCTCCTGCCAGTGTCTTTCTTAAGTAGCTCTGTGGCAGCAGAGGACCCTGGGCTATTATGGCTGGAGAGTGGGGGTTAAATTGTCCACAAGAAAGAATTGCAGACCTCCCCAAATGTAAATGCTTAACAGAGATGGATTTTAATGGAAATCAATTTCACTCCTCCTAAGAAGCCTCTGGCTTCTTGGAAAATACAGACTGCTCACTGTTGATTACTGACATGATATTTCCTTTCTTTCTCCCCTCCCTTCCTGCCTTCCCAACCTGTTGGCAGCTGTCCATATCTGGCAGTGAAAATCACTCCTGCCATCCCCGTGGTTGGCGGCATACTGTTCTTCTTTGTGATGGGGACCCTGCTTCGCACCAGCTTCAGTGACCCCGGCGTCCTTCCGCGAGCCACGCCTGATGAAGCCGCCGACCTGGAAAGGCAAATAGGTAACCCTGAAGGTCGGCCCTCAGCCTTTGGCCACTTGCCACCTGTGCGGGGCCACAGTGCGGGAGGACAGGCGGAGGTGGCGGTGCAGGAGGGGCAGGGCGCTGGACGGTGCCACGTAACCCGGGAGGAGTCCCGGCAGCCTGCATCCCCTCGGCGGCAGGATGAGCTGAGGAGGAGGTGGGATGTACAGTGGTCGGAGGTAAGGCTGAGGGGCTGGTGCACGGGAGGCGGGCTGGTGGTGCCATCAAGCAAGGAACCACCCCGAGCCATTTCCTGATGTTTCTTTGAAGCCCGAGTGTCCGAGTCTGTTCTGAGGACCCTCAGTGGTGAGAGACCTGTAGATGTAGGTGACTCTCTCTATTCTCTTTTATAATCATCGTAGCTTAACTCCCCTTTCCATAATATAAACCTGGAAAGGTCACATCTTAGACTGCTGTCTTATTTATCCAGCCTGGGATCCAGAATTTCCTTTGTTTATTTATTTATTTATTTATTTATTTCCAGAATTTCCTTTGTATTTTTATTTATTTATTTATTTATTTATTTTTGCTGAGGAAGATTGGCCCTGAGCTAACATCTGTGCCAATAGTCCGCTATTTTGCATGTGGGTCACCACCACAGCATGGCTAGGGACAAGTGGTGTAAGTCCACTCCTGAGAACCGAACCTGGCTGCCAAAGCAGAGTGCACGGAACTTAACCACTAGACCACAGGGCCAGCCTCCAGAATTTCCTTTATTATGGCATAAAAAAGGTATATATTGAGATATACTGACATGAATAGCTTTATTTTTCCTTAGGTATTGAAATCTTAGGATAACAAGTTTACAGCAATCCATTCTAAAGATATTACAACAAATCTTAATTTGTCACACAACAAACTTTTAAAGCTCTTTTTTCTAATTAAAAAGAGAGCTTTCTCTCTCCCTTAAAAATTTGCATTTCAAAGCCTTCCCAGTGGGGTAGTGGTTGAGTTCATGTGCTCCACTTCAGTGGCCTAGGGTCCACGGGTTCAGATCCTGGGTGCGGACATACACACCGCTCATCAAGCCATGCTGTGGTGGTGTCCCACATACAAAGTAGAGGAAGATTGGCACAGATGTTAGCTCAGGGCCAATCTCCCTCACCAAAAATAAAAAAATAAAATTAGTCTTATAAAGCATATTTTTAGAAAAGATGTTTGAATTTGTGAATGTGTAGCTTTGCAGTGGTGCATCAGTTAATTTGACAAGAGTGGCAGAGGTGTTTTGGTGACTCAGTGTGAGCACAAAGTTTAGGCATGAAAAATCCTTTGACAGTTAGTTCTCTCCCAGTATTCCTCCCATTCCATGGGCTTCGTTCCCTCCCCAGCCTCACTCAGCTGAGAGACTCTCCCTGCCTTTTCCACAGTGTAAAGAGATACAAGTGTGGGTCTTGATAGGCAGTGTCTGCTCTGGGCTGCCGTCCCTAAGCACTGAAGCACAGTTGTGCCTTTCTCTGAGGATCTGCCTCTATCCTTTGTCCCTGTCGCCTGGGTAGGAGCAGTAAAGGAGTTGATAGCAGGAGTGTATGGTGGGTGGTCTGCTGAGCAGCAGCCTTTTTGTGTCCTGAGGTAGGGGTGGGAAGAAGCAGCAGTGGGGAGACAGTCTCTTTCTTACCACCACATTTTGGGACATCAAGACAGGACATTAATTCATAATTTAAAGCCTCACATTTATAGCACATTAATAATTTATAAAGACCATCCATGGCAATCATGGAATTTGATCACATCCAAGCAAGTTTGTGAGGAAGACTTTATCATTACACCCACTTTACAGATAAGGAAACTAAGCCCCAAAGAGGCAGATGGGAGAAAGTGGCAGAGCCAGAGCCTCGAACCCACATCGGCTGGATCTCAGCCCTTGTTCTTTCCAGGTTGTCATGTCATAGGGGAGAGAGGGAGACCAGGCCCACTTTCCTTCAAGGACTAGAACTGGACCTATAGCAAGAACACAGTCTGTGCCCACCTCACATTAGCACACAGCTTGAAAATCTTCCACTCCAGCAGTGCGCACAGAGCCCAGCTCCCCACACTGGCCGTTAATCATTTTCCTGCTGTGATCCTGTTTTTTTCCCCTGCCTCCCAGTTAGTGCAAGAAGCATCGGCAAAGTCAGCAAGATTAGGAACCAGTTTTCTGCCTTTCTTAAAAGGGACTATAAAGAGTGACCATGAAACTCTCTATTATAAATGCAGATTCTAACAGGCACAGAGTTCCCATTCATCCTTATTAATATTGAGGAAGTTAAGCAATTCACTGAAGTTTTTTTCTTTTTCTTTTTTCTTTCTTTTTTTTTTTTTGCTTAAAGTTGATAACCTTAGAGCAGTATTTTTTTTTTTTTCAGTGAGGAAGACTGGCCCTGAGCTAACATCTGTTGCCAATCTTCCTCTATTTTATATGTGGGTCACCACCACAGCATGGCTTGACGAGCAGTGTGTATGTCCATGCCTAGGATCTGAACCGCAAACCCTGGGCCACTGAAGGAGAGTGCACAAACTTAACCACTACACCAATGAGCTGGCCCCTAGAATAGTGTTTTTTAATATAAGTATTTGTAAAAGGCAGCTCTGCCCTGTGCCACCCCCCACTCCCACCCCACGGAGACATAGATTCTGTTGAGAGAACGAGATGGGCTAAAGGATAAAACCACGTTTTGTTTCCTGCAAAGGAGAGCAGAGGATCTTCAGAGACAGGACGTCAGCGTGGCAGAAATGAGTAGCTTGTCACATCCTCTCCCCAAAAGTCAACAATAAACCTGAACAAAATAGTGAGAAACAATCATTTCATGGTTCTGGAATTTGACCATGTTGAGAAGTGGTTATTCATGAAAAACTGTAGAACTTTGGGTAAGAGCAGTGAGAGTCTGGGGCCCTCTCACTTGGGGCTGCTCCACTGGCACCCTGAATTCCAAAGGGGAGGAAGCTCTACCTAGACCAGGGCAAGCCCTGAAAACCAGCAGCTTCCCTGTCTGAGGGGCTGTCTTGGTTTGGAGTGGAGTATGGCAAAAAACAGTAACTGAAACTTTCACCTTAAGAAGCTAGACAAAGAAGAGCAAACTAAACCCAAAGCAAGCAGTAGTAAGTTAGCATTAAAGATGAATGGAAATCAATGAAATAGAATACAGAGAAAATCAGTGACACCAAAAGTTAGTTCTTTGAGAAGAGCAATGAAAGTGGCAAACCTTTCTCCATCCTATCCCCTCCCCCCAAGAAAAGACAGAGAGAGAAGACACAAATTAGCCAAATCAGGAGGCATCACCATCGACTGCAGAAATTAAAAGGATTTTAACTTTATGCTGCACATTAGACAACTTAGATGAATGAACAAATTCTTAGAATGCCACGATGATCAAAAAGATGACTCAAGAAGAAATAGAAAATCCAAAGAGACCCATAACAAGTAAAGAAATTGGTTGTTTATGTGAAAAAGATCAGTTTGAATCCTTACCTCACACCATACATAAAAGTTAATTTCAGAGACCTAAATATAAGAGTTAAAACTATAACACTTCTGCAGAAAACATAGAAGAAAATTTTTGTGATGTTGGGTTAGGCAGAGTTCTTAGATATGACACGAAAAGCATGATTTGTAAAAGAAAAAAATGATAAATTGAATTTCATCAAATTAAAAACTTTTGTGCTTCATGAGACACTATTAAGAAATTGAAAAGACAAGCCACAGACTGAGAGAAAATATTTGCATATTATATATCTGATAAAGTGTCTTGTTCTTGTGTCCTGAATATATAAAGATCTCTTACAACTCAATAATAAGACAAAGAACCCAACTAAAAATGGGTAAAGGATTTGAATAGACATTTTTCCAAAGAAGATATATGAATGGCCAATAAGCACATAAAAAGATGCTCAACATCATTAGTTATTAGGGAAATGCAAATCATAACCAGAGTGAAGTACCATTTCACACCGACTACAGTGACTCTAATCAAAAATACTGACACTAAGGGGCCAGCCCCATGGCCAAGTGGGTAAAGTTCCACACCCTCCTCTTTGGCGGCCCAGGTTCACGGGTTCAGATCCCAGGTGTGGAGCTACTCCACTCATCAGCCATGCTGTGGAGGCGTCCCACATACAAAGTAGAGGAAGATGGGCACAGATGTTAGCTCAGGGCGAATGTTCTTCAAGCAAAAAAAGAGGAAGATTGGCAACAGATGTTAGCTCAGGGAGAATCTTACTCAACAAAAAGGACAAAAACAAAAACGACCCCACAAATACTGACAATCAATAACAAATGTTGATGAGGACACGGAGAAATTGGAACCCTCACGCATTACTGGTGGGAATGTAAAATGGTGCAGCCACCTTGGAAAACAGTTCCTCAAAATTCCTCAAGAAATTAAACATTGAGGTACCATGTCACCCAGCAATTCTACTTCTAGGTATATATCCAAGAGAAATGAAAACATATGTCCTTGAATGTGCATTATACCTAATAGCCAAAAACCGGAAACAACCCGAATGTCCATCAGTGGGTGAGCTGATGGAAAATATGAGGTATACCCACACAATGGAATACTACTGAGCAATAAAAAGGAGCGAAGAGTTGACATAACATGGACGAACCCAGAAAACATTATGCTAAGTGAAAGCAGCCAGGTCAAAAGGCTGCATATTGTGTGACTGTGTTTATGTGAAATGTTCAGAAAGGGCAACTCTTTAGATACAGAAAGCTGGTCAGTGATTGCCTGGGCTGGGGGTAGGAGTGAGAATTGACCGGACACGGGCATGAGAGAACTTGTTGGGGCGATGAGAATGGTTGTGATGGTTGCACAATCTAATAAATTTACTAAAAATCATTCTAACGTACACTTATAATGGATTACTGATATAATATGTAAATTACACCACCATAAAGTGGTCAAAAATAAAAAGGAAGAAGAGAGGAGGGGAGAGAGGAGGAAGATGGAGTGGAAGGAAGGTCCCACCCATCCTGCAGTTGTGTGTCTTAAAGCTGTTGGACA